AAGGAAGGAAGGAAGGAAGGAAGGAAGGAAGGAAGGAAGGAAGGAAGGAAGGGACATGGCTCCATAGTGAATGGAACTGCTTTCTATTCTGACTGCATGATTGCCTGTTACTGAGTGTCCTCCAGTTTTGCGAGATGCCACCATCTGGAGAAACCAGGTACAGGGTGAAGACTGAGAGCCCTGAGTGAAACTGCAGTGTATTTCTGCCCCGGGACACTGCCAACTGAGCCTGCAGCCACGGCTCAGATGCTGCTCCAAGAGGTGACTGCACCAGTGACTCCTGAGGGCCACAGGAGGAAGAATTGAGGAAATCACGCTTCTCTCCAACCATCCAACTGTTAAGTCACGTTAGTTACCTTTTGGTCCTACTCCAACTGTTCAACATTAGCAAATACACTTACGGTCTTCGACAAGAGCACATCCTTAAGTTATGTTGACAGGCTTCCGTCATACCCTGGCTTCCAAACAGGAATCCCTAATAAAGTTTGACAACTTCCAAAACTTTTTTTAGCAAGACTTAAATTGCATTTTTTTTCTTTCAGAAAAGGGTAATGCACAGGCCAAGTTTTAAAGTGAAATATTAAAAATTGTAGCTGGGTGTGGTGATGCACACCTGTACTATAATCTCAATATTCAGGAGGTAGGAGGTTATAAGTTCTACATTGTGAGAGACCATTGAGAAATGAAAGAGAAATAAAGACAGAAATGGAGAGAGAGGGAGGAGGAGAGAAAAGAAAAAGGAAAGGAAGAACATTTCGTTAAAATGTGTACATAAAAGTGGGTGGGGGCGGGGAAATGGCTCAGTCAATTAAGTGCTTTCGTAAGGACCTGAGTTCTCACCCCAGCATCCACATGAAAGCCAGGCACAGTGTGTGTCTGTAACCCCAGCGCTGAAACGCTGGAGACAGCTGCATGATTGACAAACACCTGCCAGCCAGCCCAGCTCGACCCTGAGCTCCAGGTTCAAGGACAGCCCTGTCTCAAACAATGAGGTGCAAATTTAATGAGGAAGACAGCAACATTGACCCCTCTCCTCAACACGCGTGCGCGCACACACAGACAGACAGACAGACACACACACACACACACACACACACACACACACACACACACACGCGCCTATGCAAACATATAACAGAGACACACATACAGAGCAGACTGGAGCTGGGCGTGCGGCTCAGTGGGAAAGCACTTGCCTAGCATGGACAAGGCTCTGTGTTTAGTTCCAGTACAAGCAAACCAGAGGGTGGAACAAACTTAAAAGATGAGATCAGAACAGCTCTTTAAATTAATAAATAAAAAACAAATAGTAAAACAGTAAAAAATAAAAAAAAATCAAGTATTAATTATATTCATCAAATCGAATAGAAAACCTGGCATAGAAATCCTCCTGTTTAGTACTCTTGTTTTTCAAATTATGAAGTCCACAATCTAGTGAAAACCACAATGTTTAATTTACTAGAAATCGAAATAGTGTGTTTTTAAAACAGTGTTTTCTAAAGACATGATTTCATGAGTCACTCAAAGCGTTAAAAATGACACCAGTTAAAACCATTGTTTCCTATAAAATGTGCTTTCTCCAGGTAAAGCAATGTTTTGAGCTCTTTGCTTCCTTGTTTATTTTGCTTTGGGCGGTGCTTGTGATTGAACTCAGGTCCTTGGTTACATGAGGAACTTGCTCTAACCCTCAGCTACTGCCCTAGGGACTCACTCCCTAACCTAGGCTGACCTTGAACCTGGGATCCACCTGCCTCGGGGCCCCAAGTGCTGAGATTATAGCCATGTGCAATCAAGTCCCACTGTTTTATTCCACTTTGAATTATCAAATATAAAATAAAAACCTCTGAACTTTTAAAATGATAGTCTAACACCAACTGTAAGTCTACAAGTCAATGGATGTACTTAGATAAAGAAGGGACTTGACCTCAGAACCGCCGGTCTCCACCTATGGCTCTGGCTTCATCTCAAATATCGCTCTTTTCATTCAAGAGTCAGATTTGGGGGCTATTGACTATGCCAACAAGAAGTAAGAGAAAGAATTTTTCCATAAAGGATCTATATTTTTACAAATTACTAAGAAACCATCACTGAATTTGAGTAGAAATGAAAAAATGTACTGTAATGTTCATCAGGGCATATTTATAGAAACATTTTTCTTTACTTATCTTGGGGACAACATAGCCGAGAACATTCTAGAAGAACTACATTTTTCTAGACTACATTAACTGACTCTTCACCAAGATTACCAACTTCAGCACCGACCCTGAAAATATCTCATCAAAATGACCTTTCAAATTTTCCAGGATAGGAGAAAAGCATATAGAATGTCATAAAAATTGAGTTCTAGAAATACATTTCATGGCAACATCTCCATGGGGCAAGGTGAACCTGACATGAATCTTGTCTTGAGCAATTCTGTCGGTTTACCACTTGGCTTCACTATAAAACCATGGTTACTTCTAGGTTTCTTTATTTGCCCTGCCATCAAGAGGAATGGCAGGGGCACCAGCAGGGGTGTGGGAGAAGGTGGTCTCACTTGTATTCAGAATTAGCATTACAGCAAGCAGGAACTTCAAGTTAATCATGGAAACAAAACTCGGTTGCTTTTTAAATATCAAAAATAGCAAGATAGTCCCTGCCCCGGCCCCGCCCCACCCTGCCCTGCCCACTGGAGCACTCAGCTAGCCTCTTTCTAATTTTAGCTTTTGCCTATATTGGGGTCTTGTGAGGAAGAACCTTGGCGGAAGATTAGCCTTGGAGATTATTATAAGAATGAGAGAATTCATGCCTCCGATCAATCAAAATCCAGGACTGAGACCTTCCAAGACACACTTTCAAGAGGAAGCCACTAAGGAGCCTGTCACATGATGTCGCAAAAGATACCCATCCCAGCAGATGAACCATTTTCAACAGAAATACAAGATTAATGAAAAATCACAGGCAGCCAAGTGAATTAAGGAAGGCCAACACAGGACCTGAAGGAGAACACACAGGGGTTGAGGAGGAAACAAGATGTTCTAAGGGTCAGATAGAAACATTACTTGGCAGCCTCAGTAGTATTAGATCAAGCAGAAGAAAAAAGACAAAGCTTGAAGATACATCATTTCGATTGTTTCAGAAAGAAAGAACAAAATATGTGTGTGTGTGTGTGTGTGAGAGAGAGAGAGAGAGAGAGAGAGAGAGAGAGAGAGAGAGAGAGAGAAGAAGGAGGGAGAGAGGAGGGAGGGAAAGAAGGGAGGGAGGGAGAGGAAGAGAGAGAGGGTGAGGGAGGGAGGAAGAGAAAGAGAATATGCAATAAATCTGGGATACTCTTAAAAACTCAAATATTTAGATCATTGGCACACATGAGGAAGAAGAGTTACAGGTTGGGGGCATGGAAAACCTCCTCAGAAAAATAACAGCAGAAAGTACCCCAAATAGACATCCAGGTACAAGACACATTTAGAACCTTAAACACACATAACCACAGAAGTATGTCACCATGACATAGCATAGCTAAGCTGTTAAAAGTATAAGACAAAAAGAATATTAAAATCTGCTAGAAGGAAATGTCAAGTAACATTTAGAGGCAAATACATTAGACAAACAGCAGACTTCTCAGAAGGAATTCTAAATGGCAGGAAGGCATGGGATGATGTATTTCAGGTCCTGAATGAAAATAACTACCAACCAAGATTGTTGTACCCAGCAAGGCTGTCCTTCACAAGGGATAAGTATGTACCTTCTGTGGTAAAAATAGATTAAGGGAACTCATGGCCACTAAACCAAAATTACAAAAGATGCTTGAGAGAATCTTATACCCAGAAGAGAGAGAATTTAATAAATACCATCATTAAGAACACTAATAAATCCCACTAGGAAAAAGAGATATGCCAATGAGGAGTAAGAAATACTAGAAATACTAACACACTAAATCATCAAATTCAAAAGTAGAGAAAACAAGAATTGATGCCCGGAATTATGGGCCAAGTTTCTGCCCAACAAAGCAGACATTCTGTTGACCGGCCTTGGCTGTCCTGGTAGACCAGGCTGGCCTGGAACTCAGAGATGCTCCTGCCTCTGCCTCCCAAGTACTGGGATTAAAGGCATGAGCCACTGTCACCCTGCTAATGCTGTCTTTGAAAAACAAAACAAATGGAAGGACCTGGGGAGAAGGCTGCGACCGTACGCCGCTTATCAAGCTAGGCAGGCTCACATTCTCAGCACTTAGGTAAAACGCCAGGCACCGAGTGAGGAAGGCAGCCAGCATCAATGGCGGACATTCCTAGGCAAACAAAGAAGCATGTACACATGGATATACACATGGCGCAAATTACAAACCTGTACTTTTAGGGCTTACCCTGGTGGCCATCTTGTCTCTGCCATTTGGCTTTCAGTTCAGGAAAAAAATGCTCAGATGACCACATCTGATTTCACTTGGGTAGAGGAATGGAGTAATCCAGGCCACACAGGCCAGGGGGTGTCAGGAAGATGGAAAGGTTGCTGTGTATAGTCTCGCAGGCTGTCTGTGTGTGACCTCACCTGGGCTTAATGTCGTATTGAGTGCATGGCAAATCGAGAAGTGCAGTACAGTTGTGAGATACTGGGTAAGGGTGACATACACAACAGTGTATACAGACTGGATGGCTCATCCCAGCTGACCCATGAAGGTAGACACTGTCAAGACCAAAGGGCCACGTTTTATTTTTTTAGGTATGTTCTATAAGTGATTCTCAGATCAATAAGGCAACAGGAAGCTACTTAGGGACAATGGCTCCAGTGCACAAGAGAAGACTCACTAGGTGTAAAGAAGAAACCTGATTCAGTGCCCAAAGCAGCGGAGCCAGCCTCACCTGCTCCTGAGAAGCCTGGTGTTTCGACAGGTGACTAACGGTAACACCCTCTGTATCTCAGAATGTCCAGGAATAAGAGGTGTGTGTCATGTTTAAAAAATGACAGTGGAATCTTGCACTGTCAGACCACAGGAAGAATAGCTCAAATGTAACAGGAAGCATTTCACAAGGCAAGCAACCACAGGAAAGCAACCAGACTCTGGGGTCCCCACACTGAGGTGCCCCTCACCGCCAGGCTACCGAAGTTCATCTCCTTATGTTCACTCTAAGTGGGTGAAAATACAGAGTGTTATCTGGGAGAGCTGGAACCATAGGGAAGATGACTGTTATCTATCATAGCTTCAAACCCAAAGACATATGGGGGGGGGCGGGGGAAGAAAGCAGTAGAATTCTGTTTGATTTGAAAATATGCTACATCTTTTGTAAAGGTGTATAGGGTCCTCCTCCAGGAAGCCACCTGCCCTGGACCATTGCCTCTGGATCAAATGTGCTTGATGGGCACAATGAGGAAGAAGAGAGACAGCAGGAAGGGGCTGCCCCTTGCCTGATACTGCACTGTGTTGATTTTTTTTTTTCCATGTGAAGGATAGTGACACAGTTCTACACACTGTCTGGTCACCTTCCATCTATCTACCTCCTGATGTAACAGAAATGCACTGGCCCTCCAGTTGGGGAATCTGCAGTTCATAGGAACACAGCCTCTAAGCCATGGCTGACCCTCAGAGGCCTGTGGCCTTGCCTTTCAGGGTCCATAACCTTTCCAAAATTCTTTAGGTTACCGTGCCATTGAGCTGCCCTACAATGGTGTTAGAAAATTAGATGTCACAAATCTCCAAAGTTATGAAAATCATATCTCACAGGTCTAGAATACCAAACTTTAGCTGGGCACTGTGCTACACACCAATAAGCTCTGCACTTTGGGGGAGAAAGTAGAATCAGAAGCTCAAGGCCAACCTAGACTGCACAAGAAGCTGTCTCAAAAACAAACAAACAAACAAACAAACAAACAAACAAAACCCAACAAAATAGAACATTTAAGATACAAGAGTAAGTGAGTTAGTTATTGGCGATTGTCTGAAAATAAAACGCAACAAACAAAACCCACAAAGCTAACTGACTCCTCCCTCAGCTGGTCAAGTATGGAGTCTTTTCAAGAACTCTTTACTTGGATTTTTACAAAGCCTGTTCCAGTAAACTATCTACTTTGCCTGTTTTAAACCTAAGTACACTGACAGGTTAGGAATTATGCTGACGGGTTATTTTGAATGTCAGGGGAGCAATGGTACAGAAACAGCGACTGGGATGGAAGGGGAGAGAAAAGAGAAACAGTGTTCTCCCCCCCCCTCCCCCCGCTCTCCCCGGTTTGTCCTCTGACTTCCAACGTCAAGCGGACTACCCAAGTCTTCCATCACATAGGCCTCGCTCAGCAGGCGGGTATACCAGAAGTCCCAGCGCAGACACTGACTTTCCGAGTCAGGGGGTGGCAGCTGTCTCCCACTTGGCCCATGGGTGTGCAGATCCGTATGCTCTTCACCCAGATACTGACAGCGCAGCACATGCCCCCTCCACACTGGGAGTCCTTGTCGCAAGCCTGGAACGAAATAAACCAACAGATAAATATAGATAGTGGGAAAGGCTCAGGCTGGGAAACTCTAAACTTAGCAGGGAAAGTCCTCTTTAACTATCCAAACGCCCAGCCAGTAAAGTACTTGCCACCCAAGCCCGAGGACACGAGTTCCATCCTCAGAGCCCACAGGTAAAGCCAGCCGTGGTGGCTCGTGCTCGCAATCCCACCTCTGGGAAGATGGAGGCAGGCAGATCCTCGGGGCTTGGTGGCCAACCAGTCTAGCCAATTAGGGCATTCTGAGCCATGTGAGAAACAACGTCTCAAAAAATAAGGAGGATAGCACCTGAGGACAACATCTGTGCTTAATGCCTGCCTTCCACACACATGCCCATACATGTGTGTGTGAACACCTCACCCAGCATGTATCCTATGCGGTGATTTTAATAAAACAGAACCATAAGCTCCATTTGTTTGTACACACCTACAGTCAGCATTGATTAGAATGTTTCCACGGACTAAAGAGCTCCTGCATGACGAAACCCAGGATTAAGAAGGAAAGAGGAGGGGGAACAGCACTTTGGCTTTCTTCTGGTGCTTTATGGCTAAAATTGAAGAATGAGTCTAGGCTAGCCCTGTGCTATACACGGCCATTCGGAACTACGCAAATCAAATCACAAGATTTGATGACTATTAGCGGCTGAATGTAGGGGGCCTAGTTTTAAAAAACAGATGGAAATAGTCTCTAAATCAGGCACAAAGCAGTGCAGACCTGTGAAGGCACCGAGGTAACATTTAGAAGCGCTCATTTTCTCTTTCAAACATTTGCCCTGTGCTTTGTGAGACTGGATGCTTCCTGCATGGGCACCCTGATTTTCACCATTTCCTCTTTCAAAATATGAACTGTCCAAGGGTGGGAAGAGACAGACCAAGACTTTTGCCCCTTCCCACTAGTCTTTCGTGTGAATGACACACAGAAAGGAATGACTGGCTTCGGAGCAGCAGACGTGTACGTGGGAAACTAGCCTCAAAGGTCCAGCAGGTGAGGACAGGCACAGGCCAGCACAGATAGAACCAGCAGCAGTAACTCCTCAAAGTACACCCCCACCCCCACCCCCCGCCCCGCATACACAAACTACAAGTCTATACAGCCGAAGAATCAACATGGAGGACTTCCCATGCAGTGCTAGATAAATGAAGCCCACGTTTATTTGCATGAAAATGTATCTTAAGAACTGTAGCTCTTTCTTAGAGCCAACAACAACAAAAAAGGGATGCTTTGTTTTAGCAATGTGTAGCAATCCATTTGTTGTTCAAAATAAGTAGTGGCTTAAAACCACAACTTTAACTTTGGGTGGCTTTTCTTCTTCTTTTGTTATAGGATGATGTTTAAACATTCCCACCTTTTAATTTTTGTCTGGACACCAGAAATCATGCAAACATGACCATCATAGCCCTGAAATGTTAGGTCTACTCAACAATCTTCTGCAATATGGTTTTAATACATCTATATGGAGATATCAAGTTCAAAGACTGTGCTTGTGTGTGTGTGTAGTAAAAACTTAAGGTGGGTGTTTCAACCGGTGTTTTAACAGATGTACAAGACTCTAACTTCTAAGGTCCCAGCAGCTCTTTCTAAGACCATAAAAAAAGCCAGACCAAAATCTTTTAAAATTCAATCAATCACTTAGATGCTTATCACCCTGTATACAGTATATCTAGATAAATAACTGATTTTTCATTTGAATCCAGATGGTTTCTGCCAGGGGAACCTAACTTCACTTCACTGCTATGTTGCTTTAGAGAAAAAATTTTCCAATACTCATTCATAACATTGAATTAAACAACAACAACAACAACAAAAAAAAAAAACAACCCCAAGAGTCCACATGACTGTACCACCACTTCCCCCGACCCCGAATCCCACCAACATATAAACATGAAATGAGATAAAATTTCATTTCATAACAAAAAGCTTCAGTTGTTGGAAATTTACAGAGAATTGCATAAGTTTATATCTTTTTAATTAGACAGCTGTTTCCTAGTACTCTTTATTCTTCTTAACCCATTGCAGAGCCGTGCAAACAGTGTCCTCCTGTGAATGGAACAAAACCCACTTGCACTGCCCAGGAACCTTGGGGCTTAGAGGATTAGGAAACACTTAGAATGAACCAGCAGGGGAAGGAGGGAAAACCCACCCAATCATGTTTCCATTCGCATGTGTTACAAAGACACTGTAGAGACTTTTGTTCACGCACACCAACTGGCTGTGGTTGAAGCTATGTAAGTGGTTTTAAGAATCTCTGCTCTAATAAGTACCACAAGGCATAAAACCAAATATCTATGGGACATAACTCAATGCTGTCATAGCCCCCAGAGCTTTCAGAATGCAAGCTGTACCCTAGGAAACACAGAGAACATCAATCTTCATTTATTCAACACGATGACCCTTCTTTTAAGTGACGTTATTTTATTGCCTGTATGTCATCGTTCCAAACACATCTATATTAAAATCCAATAACATACTCTTACATATTACAAATGATTTAAATAAATAGATCCATGGAAAAAATATGCTTGCAACTTTTTTTTCCTTTAAGGAGTAAAACAACAGCCAACAGCCAAGGTTCTGCTGGGCTATGAAAACAGACTTCTGAAATGTTATGCTGTGAACTCATTCTTTAGATAGACAAAAAGAGTTGAAGAAACGGGCTATTTCTAAACGCGATGGAGATGCACTCTGTGAGTCTAAACAACGTCTAATGACAGCCTGCTCCATCGCCAAGCCCTGGGAGTGAGGTATCAGGAATCAGACTTGACAATTTATGTAAGGAGAACTTCACGATGAAGAAGCGGGGGGGAAATAACATAAAAATAAAAGAGCAGCTGCCCCAGAATCCAGTAAGAAGAGCCCACAGTTGCTTTCCAAAGCTCACACATGGCTACGGCCCAAGGGACTTCACAGGGTAAGCCCACCCGGGAGCTGTGGAATTTGAGGTGTACGTCTTGCTCTTTTGCAATTTAAGGAAGGGCGGTCAGATTTGGGGGTGAGGGTTTCTAGCCCCTGGAAAAGAACTTTCTCAATGGGGAAGAAACTTCTTTGAGCTACTAAATACAACAAACAGCAGACCAAACGCAAGGAGTGCGGGAGGGAGAGGTAGGGAAGGCACTGCTGAGGCAGTTTAATTCCACGGTGCGCCTTACTGTCCCCTGCCTTGGGAGCAAGACACGTCCCCAAGGGCCCAAAGGACGATCCAGGAGAATGTCACACAGGAGACACCCTTCCCGGTGCCTACACACCCCGGGCCTGGTGTCCCGGGGCGATCCGGGAGCGACAGGTGCGCGGGCAGCTTACCCCGGTGATGACCGCGGCATCCCCGGCGGGCGGCGTGAGCAGCAGCGGCAGCAGCAGGAGTAGCAGTAGCGGGGCACAGCGCGGGGCCCCCATGGCGCCCCGGGGACACGGTGGCGGTTGGGGCACGCGATCGGGGACGTTGGGGACGCGTGGCCGGGCTGCTCTGCCGAGCCGCGAGCCTGGCGGCAGTTATAAAGGCGAGCCCCGCGGTGACTCACGCCCGGTAGCACGCGGGGGGCACGGCGCGGGCACACACACCCCGCGCCCCACGCGCACACGCGCACGTGCCCCGCGCCCCCACGCGCACAGGCGCCACGCGGGCAGAGCCCCCCGCGGGGCGCCGCCAGCCCTAGTCAGCCTTCCTGTTGCTTTTGTAGTCTCAGAAACCCTCCTCCTTCGCTGTCCTGCTTTCCAGAGCTCCACGTGCTCAGCCCCCACACTCTCGGAGGCACATCATTTGCTATACAGATGTGCAGAGGGGTGCCCACGACGTGCCGGGCGCGGCGGACACAACTGTCCTGTATTCGTACACATTTGTTCAGCATGTCTACAGCGAGCGCTCCGTGTGTGCCAGGTACTGCCACCGTCTCTGTCCTGCGGTGGCACAACTTAGAGAGGACCCGCCACAAACCAAAAAACAAAGGTGTCGTAAAGGGGAAAAACAAAGCACCGCGCACACCCCAACTCCCCATCCCTTGCGAAGTGGAGGGCCTCGGCTGCCCCTCCAGCTGTGGGAGCCTCATTTACTTTTTTGAAATGACTTCCCCTGGTGCCCACATCTGTTCCTGACCCTCTCCGCCCTGATTTCCCTCACGTGCGTTCCCTCCGCTAGGCAGCTTCCAGCCGGCTTCGGGCAGAACAGGATGCTGCCAAGGGGAAAAAGAGAACTCCCAGCATGTTCTGCCAGCCTGAGGCCCTGGGAAGGCGGCGGCGCTCTCCCAGTTCTCTTCTCCAACCCAGGAAACTCGAGGTCTTTGGTTCAGGTCAATAACTAATGTGTATCTGCTGGAGTCTAGTCACTCCAGAAGACAAGAGACAACTATGTCCTCTCTGTGTCCCTCTGTGGTGCCAATAATCCCATCTTACTTGCTTCTACAAGGGGGATCAAATTGACTTGTTCTGGCCAGGGAGTGGTGGTGGTGCATCCCTGTTATCCCAGTACTCGGGAGGCAGAGGCAGGTGGATCTCTGTGAGTTCAAGGCCAGACTGACTGGTCTATAAGGCGAGTTTCAGGACAGCAAGAACTGTTATACAGAGAAACCCTGTCTCAAAAAACAAAAACAACAAAAAATTGTTCTGAGTTTGAGGGGAGCCCACCTCACTCCTGGAGGACTTGGGACCTCAGACTTTCCCATGTCCCTGAGGACCACAGACTGCTGAAAGGCAGATGGGCCTTTTCAGCCTCTTTAATCAATACAGTAAGGAGAGCTGGGCCAGCTACTTTCAGACTGCGGGCTCCCCCATGCCAAAGCATTCAGACGAAATGTAGAGGGGAAAAAAAAAAAACTGAACAAAGGGCCAGGGAATTATTTGAATGTTAAACAGCTGGGTATTTCAAACCCCAGATCTTTGGCCGAGTTTTAAAGCCTTTTGTACCCATGTTTTCGAGTTCAAGAAGCATCCTGAGACCGAAACACAAACGGGATCAAACTCATTTTTAACTTTGAGAAAACTGTTAAAAGTGGATTCGCAGTAAAATAAGTGGAAACAGTAGCAAGTGACAGACTGGTGGAAAGTTTCCTTTTCCAGTCTCCATGCCAACCACGGCATGGGAGCGCAGCCCAAGGGGAAATGTAAAAACCAGTCAACGAGGACGTTAACATTCCTGCCACTTTTTTTTCCCCTTGAATGGCCGATTTCATATTTGTTATTACTGAATGCCAACTGGGTATTCCCTACTTCTCCAAGCATAGAAACCAGGCCATGTCTACACAGGAAAATGCTAGCCTTCCATTGTGACTGGCTTCTTACAGGTCTGTTTGCAAAAGCCATCTTCTAAGACTGTTAAATCAAGGTTGGAAACGCTTCAAAATAGGTTGGTTTGGGGCTCTTGTTTTCCTGTGCTGAGGTTTGGAACCAAGGGCACAGACAATCTGGGCAAGCCCTCTACCACAAGGCTACACCCTGGACCTCTTTGGAGACCTTTTTAAGGGTTTTAATACTCGAGAAAAGAAATGAAAACTCTTCAACACAACTTCTTTTGGACCCACAGGCAAGTTATCAGAGCAAGTCTGACTTTAAGTCTTAAAAAATGGAATGATGTAATTTGGATTTGCCCCCGTCCCCCACAGATACGGACAGTGATGGATCAACCGTGAAACTGTAGTTTTGTTACTGCAGCCTGTTGGTGTGGTCAGTCATATGGTCCAGTTAGCCAGGATCAACTGCTGGATGAGGTCTAGAACTTGTGGGTTCAGAGTGTAGACTAGCAGCCTAGCGGGCCACCAGTGCTCAGCTGATTTGAAAGTGTGATACAAGAGTGCCCGAAGAGCCCCATGTTTGAGAGTTAGAGTGACCTGGATTGGAGTCTTTTGTAGCAACTAGACTAGCCTTCGAACCTTTAGAATCTGTTTTGTTTCCTATGAAATGAGTATAAAACACCACCTTTCAGGGGTCTGGCCACCATGGGGCTCAAAGGGAACGCCTGTAAAGTGCTGTGCACCAAGTCTGGGATAGACTGGAAGGCATGCAAAGGTGACTTCTCATTAAATCGTACAGCGAGCTCTTCCCTGATAGGTTCATTGAACACTGATAGGGCTGTTTTCTGTCCTGCCCACCTAATTAGATCACATACGCTGGCTGGCTGGGAGCTCACTTTCCTGAAAATCCTTCTTGCACATGGCATTAGCCCGCACTTGGAAAATGATTGATGGGCAACAGGAGTGTATCCCATGACCAGGGACAGAGACAGGTTACGAGCAAATGGTGTACAGTGCAGATGCACTTAACCTATATGGACCATGGATGCAGCTAGCAAAAGCCGAGAGGGAAAGAGACCTGGTGCAGGGGATTCACCTGCTGCTTCCGCCAAAAATATGAGCCTGGAATGAGGTGACCCTAGAGAACTGTCTTACAGCTGCCACACATTTGACCTACAACAGTCGCTCTGGGACCTGAGCTGAGGGAGACTTTATTTGAACTGATTTATGATTTCCAGTCTAGGGTTACACTAAGTATCACCTAGAAAGTTATGTCGAAATTCTAGACCCAGCTACCTGTGACTCTATTTGGAAGTAGTATCTTTGCAGATACAATCAACCAAACTTGAAATTATCTTGGTTGAGACTGTGTCCTAAATCTAAGGACTGACATCTTTGTTTAAAAAAAAAAGTGGTGGTGGTGGTGGTGTGTGGAGGGGGGGGGCATGTACACACAGCATATGTGCAGGTCAGAGGGCAACCTTGGTTACCAACACCTTTTGTTTGGGACAGGGTCTTTCACTAGACTGGATCTTTTCCACATAGGTCAGGTTAGCTGGCCTCTGAGCCTCAAGGACTCTGCCTGCCTCAGCCTCCCATTTTACCGTTGTTGGGATTACAGACTCATGTCACCACACCTGGCTTTTTTTGTGGGTTCTGGAAACTGACCTCAGGACATCATGCTTGTGAGGCAAGCGCTTTGCTGACCGAGCTGCCTCCCCGGCTTTTATAATAGAAACAAGATACTTGATTCAGAGACAGGTAACACATCTGTCATCCCTCCTCCCGGATAGCTAGCTTCCAGAACCCAGAAGAGTTGTGAAGAGCATCTTCCCGGAAGGCTTCACAAAGAGAAGGCCCTGCTGACACCTTGGTTTTGAACTTCTCACCTCCAGAACTAGAGGAAAATAACGTCTGATGTATGAAGCCACCCAGTTCTGCTCACTTCTCCCCACACCTCTGGGAAACTAACAGGCTGGGTGGGGCAGGATGGTTGCACATCAGCTTGCCTCTGCCTCTGCCTGGAACTCAAGCCTGACTGTGTGGTGACTGAAACAGGTCACATGGCAGTTCACTTGGCTGAGGATAGCAGTACCAATGTGGTTTGTGCTGAGATCCAGAAACCTAGTGAGCAGTGCCAGATTCTACGGGAAAGGGGCCTTTGGTGGCTTGGACCCCTTAATGAGTTCAGTGTGCTTTGACCGATCCTAGTAATTCTCACTACAAAGGATAACGGATTTATGTATATTTTTTTCTTGTTCCATCCTTTCACACTTGTGACACAGTGTGAAAGAGTACAAATGTGCAAGCTGGGAATGTTTTAAGTAGATAGTAAACGATCATTCATTCACTCACTCAACAGGTACTTACTAAGCATGAACTGTAGACTGAGCATTGAGTAAAGCACTTTGTGGCTCAGTATATTATTTGCTGACCCGGATGACTGAGAGTAGTCATCAACCCATATCCTGACGGGAGAGAAGCACAGAAACCTTGTTGGCATTCCAGAGAAAGAGGTGCAGGAACAGAGTGGGAAGGAAGGAGGGAGCTCAGGGTTCACTGTGTGAACTGGCTGACAGGGGCGGTGTGTGTGTGTGTGTGTGTGTGTGTGTGTGTGTGATGCTGACACTCACATGGGCGTGGGCAAAGGCACTCAAACAGGCAGGGTGAGGGGAGCAACTGTGCTAAAAACAGACACGGCTAAGCAGCAGTTTGCTGGACTTTTCAAAATTCCCATTTCACATAATGTAGCCACAATGACTAAGGTTTAGGTAGACAATTGGAAAACTGTGATCTATTGTCCGTTTTTGTTGTTGTTTGTCTGTCATCTGTGGTTTTTGGTTTTTTGCTTTTGTTTTGTTTTAAGTTTTACCAGGTCCTCGCCATGCCTGTTTCTACATTGCCTGTGACAGCTTTATACTGAGTACTTGTGAGACCATAGGACCCGGAAAGCCAAAACAAAGTATTTATTCTGTACTCCTGAGAGAAAGCTTGCTGACCTCTGGTTGTATGTGTGTGTTGTGTGTGTGTGTAGGCGGTGGTGCGGATGCACATTCGTGTGTGCCTGTGCATATGGAGGCCAGAGGTCAGCCTCAGCTGCCGTTCTTCAAGTACCTTCCACCTTGCTTGGTGAGACGGGGTCTTTCACTAGACCTGGGACTCACCAAGTAAGCTAGGCTGGCTGGCCAGTGAGCCCGAGACCTGCCTGTCTCTGCCTCAGTGCTGGGATGCTCCGTGCATACCACCCTCCGGTCTGGCTTAATTTTACACGGGTTCTAGTGAGCAAACTCAGCTTCCTGTGCTTAGGACAGAGCTATTCCCCAGCTCTGCTGCCTCCGGGTTTATGTGTTCAAGAACAGCCTGGAGTGATGGCTCAGCCATTGAAGGCTAGGCTCACAATAAAAAATATATATGTATAAAAAGGAGCCTAGAGCTTCTATACCGCCTCATACTGCATTTTTGCCGCCATCTTCTTAGCTGAACCTCATGCAGGATGGACTTTGGAAGCTCCAACCCACATTCTTTTTGACATTTGGGATATTGCCCAAAGTTCTGTCTTATGGTTTGCTGTCTTGCATATTAACCTTACTATAATTGATTTCAATAATCTGGCACACAGTAGGTGCTTAATCAGTATGGGTGGAGTTTGAAAAGAAAGATCAAAAAGTGCGAGCCCTGTTCTCCATCTTGATTTGAAAGCCTCAGGCATTTTCTCCACCACAGACGAGAAAGTCCAGACTGTTCCTCACGCGGCTCTGCTCTCAAAAGTGATTCCGGCTTCACTGAGGACTTCCTTTGTATGTGTCTTTTTCTTATGGCTTATTATGAGAGCATAATGGGGGGCCTGGTAATGTCATCACTGGGTTTTATTTGTCTTTGTGTAAATGACTTTTCATTTAGGTCTGTTCCAAAAAGTAAAATGGATATTCTCCTTTCTGCTTTGCCTTTATCCTTTTTTGAGGAGCTATTCCACGTGGCTCCTCTTGTTAAACCCATAATATCATCCCGCTATCTTTCTAAAATAATAACCGTGTTTTGAATGTGACACGGAAAAGGAATGGCTTTTATAATTCTAAATAAGATGTCTATTTTAATCTAGTTCAATGCTGACGATTTTCTCTTTATTTTAAAAAATAAATCACCAAGATACAATTTGAAAGCCAATTGTCTACGGAGGCACTAAAAATCATTTGCTCCATTCAAGTGGTAATGTACAGTAAAGTTTATCTATTTTTAAACAGTTGAAATATTAATCCGGGAGAATGAGTTTTCTTAAAACAATTAGTACACAATGACTTTGAGATAATATGAAGGGTCACCAAGGAACACTCGCTTCTAAGAGATTTAGTTGTGTTCATTATAACGCTGGCCCTTCTCTGTCTACCCTTTTTTTTCTATTGAAGATGAGCTGGAAGGCAGAAGCTTGTGCATCGTGTACTGAGATCTTCATTCAAAGGAGAGATTGTTATGCAAATATGTGACATATTTGGTAACTTTCCAGATGGAAAAAGAAGTCTCACATAAGAAAGGTATTTTCTTAAGATTAAAAACCATGACTGGGTAATTACTTTACCATCCTTTCAGGTCAACATGATCTAGCTAGCACACCGAAATAAACCTCATTTAGCAACCTTTAAAGACGGAAAGGACTTGGAAGAAGTAATGAGACACACATACACAAACACATGCACACACACACACACACACACACACACACACACACACACACATGAAATAATAGGCAAAAAACTTTTAGAGCCAGGTGTGGTGGCTCCTGTCTCTAATCCCAGCACTCAGGAGGCTGAGGTGGAAGGTTTGACAGGGACCTGTGCTACATAGTAAAACCCTGTCTCAGGTTTGGCTTTTTTCTTCTCTCTCTCTCTCTCTCTCTCTCTCTCTCTCTCTCTCTCTCTCTCTCTCTCCTTCCTTCCTTCCTTCCTTCCTTCCTTCCTTCCTTTCTTTTTTTGGGACACAAAGCAATTGTGCTATCTTCATTTCTAAAGTACAAAGCTGTCTCCAATGCTTTGCATACAATAAGCACTTAGTAAATCTTCTGTAACACCCCAGGGACCCTCTGGGTAGAACTCTTGAGTGTCCGTTACAGAAGAATAAAGTGGAATTTTATTATAAAGTGGAATCAGCCATGCCATCTTGAGCCAGAGTAACTGCTAAGGAAAGAAGCTAGATCTAACCCTAGAGTGCGCTGATGCCAAGCGTCTAGCTGTTACAGTTTCTCCTTAGACCTATAACACCGTCATAAGGCTTGGGTGGCCAATAACTAAAAGTAAGAAATAGCAGTGTGGTGTGGGTGTTGCATACACCCCATCTTCAAACCTGTCTCCACAAAGCTTAGAGCTGTTTGCTCACTTTCTAGATGTTCCTGAGCCTCCACACATGACTTGCCATAAAATAGTACTTCAGAGCCCTGGCCAATGGTCCATGGCCATCCTACTTCCATGGTGCTCTAGAGCGCTCTCCCTCTTCTTTCTTGTATCTGTTTAGTAGTTAACAGACTCCATCATAACAGCTGGAGATGGAGGAGTAGGGGGACAGGAAGGAGTCTGGAGATGTGTTGATTGGGGTACGTAGAACAGGACAGCTTTTCTTGCTGCATGCACGTGGAAGCCCAAAGGAGGTGTTGGGAATCATTCTCAATCACTCTTCCACCTTATTCTTTGAGGCAGGGTTCCATATCTCTGCCTTCCAAGGCCCAAACTGCAGATGATCTCCATGCCTACTTGGCATTTATGTCGGTTTCGGGCCTCATACTTGCATGACAAGGGCTTTAGCTGCAGAATCTTTTCTCCAGCCCTTCTTTCCAATTCTTTATTTTAAAGTAATGTTAATTCGAAAGCTGTTGTAAAAATAATGTAGAGGGTTGCTGAATACCTTCCCCCCTACACACACACACACACACACACACACACACTGCTCTCTTGTTCTAACAGCACCTGCCCTTGCACATATACATGCATGCACACCTACCCACAGGTCTGCCCACGCACATGCCAACACGAACACATGAACATATATACAAAATATGGGGAAAGAGCCACGTGGTGGTGGTGCACACCTTTAATCCCAGCACTTGGGAAGCAGAGTCAGGCAGATCAGCCTGATCTACAGAGTGAGTTCCAGGACAGCTATGGCTACAGAGAGAAACTGTGTCTTAAAAACAAAACAAAAACTGGAAAAATACAAAAAGAGTTAGGAAGAAGGATAACAGCAAGGAAAGCTGGTCACCTTAGCACCAAGGGGCCAGCACTGACCTGCTTGACTCCAGGGACAGGCAAGACCTGCTTGAGCTCGGGAAACAGCACATTCTGAATATGTTGCCCCTAGCCCACCTGACTCCCTGCTGTCTACTGATTCTGAACTTCAACAGCTGAGTCAGTGGGAAGAGTACTTCCCAGGCTGGAGTACAGGTCGCGGTGCTGTGAATGTAGAGAGTGTCTTATCATTCATCAGTAGGCTGACATTCTGGTTCTATGACCTGAACCCAGGATGCTTGCTTGTCACAGTGCCCTGCTCCTTGTGTGGCATGCAGACAGCTTAGACCGAGTGAGTCCATGAGGGTGAAGGAGACCTTGTATTGCTGTGGCCAGATGAAGTGTGTGTGTGTGTGTGGAGGCTTGAGGCTGCCGTGAGGAGCCTTCCTCAGTCACTCTCCACAGTGAAGGTAGAACTCACTGGTTTGGCTAGGTTGGTAGAGTCCAGGTAGAACCTATCTCCACCTTGCCCGTGCTGGGATTTCAGGCATTTGCCTGGCTTTTCTTTCGTGGGTGCTGGGGATCAAACTCAGGATCTTATTCCTTTGCAGCAAGTACTCTACCGATTGAGCTTCCTCCCTAGTGGGTAGCTAGTGACCTCTACACCATATATATAAGTATAATTTAAAATCTTTATATACTGCTGTGATGTAAAGGTCATGGAAACTTGGCACTGAAAACAGTGTGAATGGTGGAAGTCAAAAGCTTTAGTCCAAAAGTAACTGTCATGAGCTGCTTCCTCCAAGATGTGCAGGCCAAAGCAGATGAGCCACTTCCGATTAGAGTGTTATCTTCCTCCTCCTTCTCCTCTTCTCCTTCTTCTCAGAGAGACAGGGTCTCATGTAGCTCAGGCAGACCTCCAGCTCAGTGTATAGCTGAGGATGACTCAATCTTCCTGCCTCTACTTGTGAGTATTGGGATTACAGGTGTGTGCCCCCATGTGTGGTTTATGCCAGGCTAGGAACTGGGGCTTTGTGCATGCTGGACAAGCATTCTACCAACTGCAGTACATTCCCAGTCGAAAACAAGCACACTCTGCATGCTAGAAATCATGAGAATGGTTAATATGCATCATTTTATATAATCCTCCCCACACCCCCATTGTCAACTGTGAGCACTTGACATTTAATGGAAAATTCTTACATTTCACCTCACTTCATCAACTATATATGACAAATGCTACTATTGTCCCATTTATGGGCTCTGTGATCTTTTTGCAAATCTCCATTTAAAAAAATCAGCACAAAATAAATGTACAGGAAGGACTATATAGTGCAGTGTTTCTATAGATGTTTGCAGCATGTAGTGACCAAATAAAGATGATAAGCATTTCCATCTCCTTAAAGGTGCAACACTTCTTGGTGATGGGAACTATTGAAATCTACTCTTCTAGATTCTTTGATGTGTAGTTGTTACCTTTATTCACTGTGCTGCAGAACACTGGGGCATGTTCTTTGGGTATAAGTCAAGTTTGGTAGCTGTTGCCCAGCCTCTTCCTATCCTGAGAAACTGTGCACTATATAATCTACACAGGAAGGACATATGTGTTCACTTAAGGAAATAACGAGGAAGAGATGTAACCCACCTCGATTCACCATCTGAACCTACAGGGTCTCAGAAATCCATGTGGTCCCCTCTCCAAATATATCTTGTTCCTAACCCCGATCTCAGCCCTTTTCTGATTGTTTCCTAGGGTGTTAACCACCCTATCACCTGTTTTCCCCAGTTGTCCTAGATACATACAGATCCCTGAACATTTTCCGATTCGTCTTCCTGCCAAGGCACAAAAATCTCAGGACCTTACCCCTTCTCCAGGTTTTTTTTTTTTTCCATTTCTTTTTTTTTTTTTTTTTTTTTTTTTTGGTTTTTCGAGACAGGGTTTCTCTGTGTAGTTTTGCGCCTTTCCTGGAGCTCACTTGGTAGCCCAGGCTGGCCTCGAACTCACAGAGATCCGCCTGGCTCTGCCTCCCGAGTGCTGGGATTAAAGGCGTGCGCCACCACTGCCCGGCTCTTCTCCAGGTTTTAAAGAACCAAACTTTGATGTACTGAATTCCTAAGGAAATTTTTTATTGCAAGCAATGAAACCCAACTCAAATAGTTTGAGTGAAGGGCAAGCTCCTAGTTGTGTTTGAAAGTCTATATGTGCTGGTTCTGCATCTGTAAACCCGAGATGGACAATATTGGGGAAATGAGTCACACCAGCCCTGAAAATGTGCAGACATTTTTTTCCTTGTCATTATTTCCTGAAATACAAAATAACAACATCCACACAGCTGTATATAAATTCTCTACTGCATATTATACAAGAGACTGGGCATCTATGGATTTGAGTGTCTTCAGGAATACTATAACCAAACTCACACGGATATCAGGGCATGACTGCTCTCTAGAAACTAAAAGAACAGTGGCAGATACAACTTACCCTTCTATTGTGACTTCTGAAAGGTTGGTCTCTTGGGTCAGGTTGTCTACAGATGGTGGTTCTTGGTCACTCCGGGGGAGACAACAGTCTGCTTCCCATTTCACATTTCTTCTTCTTCTTCTTCTTCTTCTTCTTCTTCTTCTTCTTCTTCTTCTTCTTCTTCTTCTTCTTCTTCTTCTTCTTCTTCTTCTTCTTCT